TCATCGTTTGATAAAATCTATTTTTATTTATTTATTTTGAAGCTCATATACAGTACACGTGCGATAAATAGTTTCTGTATCAACCTACCTTATTTCCACGATATTTTTAGAAAAATAATATCCAAGTAATTTTCGCAGGCAAAATATTCAAAAAACAATAAACGCATTAATGCAAAAATCAGTTTTACTTCCTTTTTCGATTCCGCGATTGTAATGAAATCGTATAATGAGAAAAAATAATAAAATCGTTTTATTATTAATTAATAATTTTTCTTATTGTACTTAATTAATTAAGAAAATATTAAATATTAAAAAATGCAGTATTTTTAAAGTTAAAATAAGATAAAACTAACGAAAAACAAAAGCAAAGTGATGGAGAGATAGGACACGCTTATATATTTATGACGTAATACACGTACCTGAGGAGCGAACGAAAAGAACCGAGTCGAATTAATTAAGTCGAAAAAAGAAAGTGTGCATTATAATCGAGAAAATGCGACTACTGTATTAATCTTTAAATTATTGGTGTTAAATCTGTCTTATAATATCATGACGACTCCTATAAATCGGGTTATCCGATAAGAATAAAATACAATACCAATATAGCCCTATCGTTGAAAAAATTCGCTTATTTTTGCTCACCTCGAGTTTTTCTTAGTAGAAATGGCTAAAAAGTGCGCAAAATACGTACGGAAATACGGTATTAAAGCACCACCTGTCTAAAAGACCACTTTTTGAAGGAACCGTGGGTGGTCTCCATAGACAGGTTTTACTGTATACGCTTTTATAATATTCGTGGCGCACTTCTGAGAACAACTCTGGACAACGCCCAATTTCTAACATCAGGACAACGCCGCGGGAATACACGGCGTTTGTTCAGGAAATTCGACATAGAATAATTTAAAAACAGTATCACTTAGTTGTTTAAAATTTTACTTTGTTTTAAACGAAACATTCGGATTCGATCGCTAGTGTTTTTGTTTTATACCTGTTTAAAACGGAATGCGATAATGGAATTTTCTACTTAGTATGTTCTAGTATTATAGAATGTTTTATTTTTATAGTTAATAAACTCTTCTAGATAGAGTTGAAGCTGCAGTTGTTGCATTTTCTTACATACTTTCCAGACAATTAATGTACGGTACAATCTTAACATAGGAATAAAAATTAATAGACAAATTCTCGTTAACTTTTTTTTTTTTTTAATCGAAGATCCGTTTTAGACAGGTTTTACTATAATCCTTCTTTAAAATTATTTTAACATTTTTTAAAATAATGTTTAATAATAATAATAATACTATTATGTAATAAAGTAAATATTAAATATGTCCTTCATTTTTAATAAGAATACTTATTTTCAGATGTCAAAAAGGACACTTTTTTACATACTTTAAAACAGTTTTTATTATATAAATTTAAAGCTGTACATGTCATCCTTGAGTGAATGATTTCAAGGTAACATATTAATTACATTCAATAGATGCATATAATTAAGACTCTTAGGCTATAAAAGATTTCGCGTGATTTTACTCATGATAAGAATAGGAAACTTAAGAAACATAGCTCTTAAAAACCTGCAAAATGCATTTCGTAGGTTTCTTTTTGATCCTTTTCCTTTCCTTATACAAAACTTATAGCTTAAGTGGAAGATTATATTCGAGTTGTTCGAAAAGCTTAATAGATCGATACTGCGGTAAGACATTTCTTAAAAAGTAGGCCTATTTGAAATATAAAATTTTACTTAATATATAAAATTTAAATATTGTAATTAACTATACTGCTTGTAAAACAATTAATATTATGCACTTTATATTTTAATAGGTGTGAAAAACAAAGCGGCAGTGCTCGAATGTAAACAAAGGCTTGGATTTGAAAGAGTAAGATTCACAATCGATTTTTAAAAATTAAATTAATTTAATTTAATAATAAATATTTGAAAATGATTCATGGTAAAATGTTTTCAGGGTTTGGAAATATTTGAAAATTGTTATAATGCAGTTTCTGAAACGGGAAAACTTGAAACCATAGAAGAGAAATTAGAAAAAATTTGTTCTTTGAATCGTGATGTAATCATATTTTCTTATATTTTATTTATATATAAAATATAGTTCTTAATATTTCGCTATAAAAATTTTATAAACTTTTTTCAAACGAGGGCATTAAGAAGGCCTTTTAAATTATACCCATCATGGGTTCGACCAGGCCTTGGATGGAAGTAGTTGGCAATGTTGAGGTGAGTCTATGAAAAATTACTGAGACCCTTCCCGATTCGAGTCTCGAATCATATACCAGTCGACCCCCCTATAACACTGTTGATAATTCCGTTTTATATGAATTCCATTTTGTACGAGTTACTTAGATTTTACAAATACGTGTGCCGGGCTGTGAACGGCTCACGTATTTGTAAAATCTAAGTGACTCGTACAACATGGAATTCATATAAAACGGAATTATCAACAATGTTATAGGGGGTCGACTGTAGATTTACTGTATAGATTGGCGTCTTTACTGTCTCGACATTAGGCTTCGGCCTATAAAAACTTTTATTTGCTATTGTATCATTTGTGTCTTTTATTGTATATATGCGAAATTTTGTTAAAATAGAATATTTACATTATAACATAATGAAATTTTTAAAAATAATTTTTAATAACTGTATAAATTCTTTAATAATAGAATTCATAATGAATATAATAATTAATATATTTTATAATTTATAATTTCGAATAATTTCATAATCCAGAATTTGAATTTTTATGACAAAATTAAGTGAAAACACAACGGTTGCGGACTTATGAGTACTAATCTTTATATTTGCATAATCGAACTGATTTCCTTTAAATTGCAAACAATACTGATGCTTAGTTATTTTTTTGCTCACTTTGGGTAAAAACAATAACAGTTTTATGCATTGTTATATTGGTTGTAGTATACCATAGTATTAGGGACGTAACTATCAGGAATGCAGAATGTGGAGTGGACATGGAACTTGACAATAAGAGTCAAGGTGGCAGCCTACGGCTCTGGGGGAACCGGAGTCCAGGGTTCCTCAGAGCGGTAGTCCAACCGGATATCTCGACCCTCATCCCTCACCATCCTGCCGCTTCACTGTGGACCTGGTCGAATCCATAATGGGCTTTTTTGTCTTTTTTTGTTTTGTTTAATTCTTTCTGCTCTGTGGGCACTAAGAGGGCCTTCATTAGCAAGCCCATTTTGAGTTCGGCCAGGCCCACAATGGGGCGGCCGGGTGGTGAGGGACGGGGCCCGACATATCCGGACAGACCACCCTCGAAAAATTATTGGGAATTTATCGACCCATCTGGATTAGAACCCAGGTCCTCTTAGTGCCCACAGGGCGGAGTTTAAAAAATCCCAATAGGGCTTACGGAAGGCTGAAGTACTTATACATCACTATAACGAAACTATATTAAAGTAAATACTGAAAATTAAATTCATTTAAGAAGGGCGCGGGTTTGAAAACCTTGTCTGTTTTTAGTCGATTTGTTTTCGTTTTGTAGCAGCTTGGATTGACTGACCGTCATTATACAGTAGTAACGATTCTTATAAGCTTTGTTCATCGCTTAACTTCGACACTAACATCGTATGCACTAATAGAAAGTTTTATAACTACTTCTTTGGAAACTTATAATTAGTATGTTAACTATGCCTTTGTAGGCAGTGTCATCATATTTAACATACTAATACATTGTCCGTACTTGTTTTTGTGAATTGTCTGTTTTGTCCGCATTTCCAGTGATTGGAAGTTTTTTCTTTACTCTAGTAGTACCGCACATAAAACTGGGAAATTCTCTCTTTTGGTAACAGCGTGACGTTAAATTTAGAATTCAGAAGTTGGATCAGTCAAAATACATCGGCCTTTCAGTAGTGTTTCCATTTCCGATATTGCACCCACTAGTGGCCGAGAGGATAAAACCACTGAACATTGGTCGTGGGTTTGCGCCTCGCCAATGAACTGGCCACGTGAAGTTTTCCAGATTTTCTTCACGTTTGTAACACCTAAATAGGGATCAGTTTCCCATAATAGAACTCTCGGAAGGCATTTCCCTTTGCAGATCGTCACGAGTCACGAGTCACGTAACCGTAATCGAATAAAACCATTTCTATCATTGTTTTCACTTCAACCTTCCAGTTTCGAAACCATCTTTAATGCATAATTAATAGTGTATATTTTATATAACAGTTTTTAAAATTGTAATAATTTTTCAGGAATTTATAGGCATTTCTAATTGTGGTGAATATGCAGGAAAAATAGACCTTCTGAAAACAAGAGGAAAAATGTACAATATTGTTGACGTAAGTATTATAAAAATGTATTTTTTGAATTCCAAAACAAAAATGTAAACAATCTTCGGAGTCATTTTTTGATCGATCGCCGTGCTTTCTCACTGTTATATATAAGAGCCGGGAAAGTAAAAGGGTTCATTAAATTTGAAAAATATTTCAAGTTTCTTTTATAAAGTAAAATAGACTTCCGGATAATTTTGAAACAGCCTGTTTTATTTACAATCCGTCAGTCTTATTTTTAATAGTTAAATTTCAAGAATAAGTTAATTTTTATTCTTGAATAAAAATTAACTTATTTGTTATAAATCGAAACGCTCTAAATAGAAATGTACACAATGTTATATTTCACATTGAGTACATTTCATAATATACAGTGAGTACTGTAGTTTATAATATAAAATTTTAAAAATAACCCAGTAAACATTTGGGCCGCAAACTATTACAAATATCTTGGGTCGTACGAGCAAAAAGTTTGAAAAACGCTGGGCTATTATGTCTAAGGCCCAACTTACGTATTAAATTTTAGAAAAATTTAAAAATCGTATCGTGGATTGCATTTAGATCCAAGTTCAATTATTTTTATACTTTCAGCTTTGTTTATACGTTCAAGAAGTGATAGAAGATAAGGTAAGTAGAATTTTATGTTAAATTTTAATTATTGATAAAGGCAATACAAAACGCGCAAATTATTTTTTCTCCATTTTACAGTAATTGCTTCTTCTACTTTCTTTAACATCTTACAGAAAGTATCACGTTATATTAGATATTATCCTAACTTCTCTTACAAAAATTTAACTTTATAAAGTACTGCTTATGATAATACTTTGAAAAAAACTTTTAAAATCTGTGAAATTTGATATCTACTATAATAATATTAGTTATTATTAAAACAAAAACATCGCACTTGGAGTAATTTGACAGCTAAAGAAGTTACTTAGACCAACTAATTTAAAAACTGGTCATTTCTAAATTAATTTGGATTTTATTTTTAAAGTAAAGGATTTAAAGCAATGCAAAGGAAAATATATTCTTTGATATAAGCAAAGCATATGGACTAGGGTTTCTCATTTCCCGGGAAATTTGCCTCCAGCGGGATTACGGGAAAAATAATTTCTTTTCCCGGGATCCCGGGAAATTCCGGGATGATAGTAAAATAGAATTTTATATGAATAAAAAATATCATAAATTTGAATAATTTAATTTATTTTCTAGTAAGTAACTAAAGGTGTAGGGCCAATCTCACCCATACGGACACGTTAGGCTCAATTAATTTATGTTCTCCTACATTATAAGATGAAAGTAAAATAAAGCGTTTCATTGGGAGTTTTAATGATTACGAAAAAAATACTATTTTATTTCTAAAGATGAAATAAAAAATAAACTAAAGTGCGATGAGTGATATTTACTTTCAGCAAGTCTCCGCTGTTCAATGATGCGCAAACACAATACATAGATATTACATGAACTAACAAGTAGAGACTTGTAAAACATAGGTAATAATATGCAGCAAGAAACCTCAAAATTTCTCTCTTAGGTGAGTCTTCAAGATGCAACTTTTCGTATAATAAATAATAGAAAGAAAACCTGACATGGTAAATTATTATTGAAATGCGAGATTTCCCGGGATTTTTCTCGTAGGGAATAAATGGCGAGAATCCCGAGAAAACGGGATCCCGGGAAAGAAACCCTAATATGGAGTGATTACTGTTATGGATCGACTCCGTTCATATCTATAGTAAAAAATACAGCAACGAATTGCTTAACTTTCCCAGCTACATTTGGTGGTGCTATATGTTATCATATTTTACTAAAAAAAACTTATATTTTTCACTATTATAAAATGGCAAAAAGCTTAATTTTGAAGTTAGGGATGAGTTTTATAAAAAAAAAATTGTAAGTGCCAATAACCAGTAAAATCGTCATTAAGTCTGACCCTACACGACCTCATTATCTTCCCACCCCTCGACCTTTAATTGACGAGATAACTCGTCAAGTTTACATAGCGTTACGAAAAATTCGGTAGTTAAGGCCACTTTTGACAAATTTTTTTTCAATTTTTGGAATGTTTTTTAGGTCCACAAATTTTTGCAAAAATTTTTACCCGCGCGAAAAAATTTTATCGCGATTTTAATGAGCCTTTGATAAGGCTCGATTAAGGCTTAATTGTTTTTTAATGGGAGTTTTTTATCAAATTTATTTCATGGTTCCTTAGTTGTAGTGCACACGGATTTTCCTTCGGTAAAGTTATTTAAAGCTAGTTTCTGATGCCAAAAACGACCTCCGATAGTTTTTTTAATTTTTTTAATTAATCGATTTTATTATATATAAATTTAATTAATTAGGGGGTCGGAAAACGCAATTAAAATCTTAATTTTTTAAAAATATTTAAAAATACAGGCGTCGCTCATATTCTACTTTAATCACCAAAATTTAATAGCATCAATTCCCTAACAAAAAAATTTCCCTGAAAAATTTCAGAAATTTTCGACAAAACACACGGAGTTAATAAACTTCGAACAAGGTGAACAAAATCGTGCCCCACACCAACATCCATACATACAAAAATTACCCCCAAATTTTTTGTATTTCTCAACATTTCAAGGTGCCCCAAGTCCAAAAATGTAAAAATCTGGAGGGGTTATTTTTGCCGGATCGTCATACTTTCCCTCTGTATAACCAGCCGGATAATTAAAAGGATATTAATACTTATTACTGTAAATTGAGTAATAGATAATTCCGTAAAGTTTTATCCACCACTTTTAAACTGGCTCCTCTGTGCACAAGAGTCAGAAGTCAATGGAATGCAACGTACTGGGCATTTGGCTAAAAGACCAGTTACGTTGAAGCCTGCTTTAAACAGTTGTCATGAAACTAACACCGATGGCCAGAGAGCAGTCTACCAGATATTCCAGCTTGACGTCTCACGTTTGTTGTTTGAAATCCAGCCCAAAGCCTGGTTATGACCTTCCAATAATTTTTCCTTCATAAAGTTATCTTTGTGGTATTATTTTTTGCTGTCAATGTCATACAATAAAGCAGTTAAAGATTCCTCTATGGTGGCAGGCTATTGCTCTGGGGGATCCGGGATCGAAAAATTTCCATAAATTTTTTGGGTGTGGTCCGACCGAATATCTCAACCCCCGTCCCTCACCACCCGGCCTCCCCATTGTGGGCTTGCTTAAAAAAACCCTCAGTGCTCACTGGGTGGAAAGAGTTTTAAAGTCCTCTATGGTTAAACTGCAACAAAAACAATGCCTTGCTGCTATTGTACTTTTAAAGTGTCTTCATATTTTGAATTAATTCATACTTTTTAATGGAATCTTCAACTATAACCTGGATTGTTTTACTAACTAGATAGGTTCACATTAATTGCTTCTTACCTATAGATTAGACGATTATTCTCATTTTCTTACAGACGGGTATGTAATTCATCATGTTATGTTGTACTGGTATAATATATGGTTTTTCAAATGATATATTTTAAATCATTGTAACTAATTTTAAAAAATTTTCTTTAATTTAGGGTTGTGGACTTTACACTGATCGCCGTCTTGAAATTTTATGAACCCTGATGTTAGTTTTCGGATGTTTTAATTGAAAGAAGATAAAAAGTAAACATTTGATATTTTATCATCATTCAATGGTAAAATTAACATTTAAAATATATTTGTACTTCTAATTATTACCATATTTGTAACATATATATACAAAAATATTACATGCTAGATAAAAAATTTAAACAAATGATGGCTGGGGGCTAACAAAAATTAAATTAGTTTATTCATTTTTGAATTGAACAATTTAAAATGAATTGCTAAAAATTACATACCACTTCTATAAACTTAATTTTAATAAAGAAAAAAAAAAGTTGAAAGTTTTTCTTATATATGTTCCTTCTTCACCAAATAATCAAGCTAGAATTATAATATTTATTAATTTTTTAATCATTGCAAAAATTAAAAAAACAAGCAACATTTTTAAAGTTTATTTAAAAAATTCAATTTAACTATAGCATCTGAAAAGTCAAAGTTTGATTATTAAATTGTTAAGATCCTTACAGTTAACTACAGTAAAAGAAAAAACATTTTTCTAAAATAAATATCTTACTGAATTTCAGTTAATTACCCCCATCAAAAAACAAAATCAATTAATCTAGAAACGTTTTAGATTAGCCTTTCTATAAAAAAACTAAGAAAATAGTATTGAAATTATTAATGAGAAAATTTTTAATAAAAAAATACCATGTTTTGCTTTTTCAAATCATTTACATTAAACTGAAGTTTGGGTAAAAAAAATATCTAAAAGATAATTTTTCAAAAAAATATATATTATTATTATTGTATTTTAACACCACTCTTGAAAAATCCATATCAAAGTTAATTTACATAGAACTAAAATGATGAATTTCAAATTTTTAAGCCATTTTAAAAAGTCGTCAAAAATCATTATGCAGATACTTAAAAAAAATTTTTTTAAGTGGTAAACAGTCAAGTTAAATATTGTACTTATAAACACAAATTTTTTAAATTATTAGTCAAACATCAAAAGCTTCACATAGCAATTTTTTTTTTATAACAACAAATAAGGAACTACAAAATTACAAAAAGTTTGATTTCGCTTGTGACAAACTTTTATTTGTATCAAATTTTCCAAAATGCACAAAAGCATTACTACATGTGACAAAATTTCAGGGCAGCAAATCAAGTGAATGTTATGCTGCAAAACTGCTCATCACCACAAGACGCCATGTTACACAATTAATATAAATAGGTCAGTCAATATTAATTCAAACATTCCAATTATTGATAGATTGTCATAATTCATTTAAATATATAAAAAAATTAGAAAAAAGCGTGGAATTGAAGCTCATCTCCCTGATCATAAATGTATACAAATTTTCTTTCAAAGTGTCAAAATATATCACTATAAAATTTCCCTCCACAATTAAAAATTACATTACATAACTTCTATTCATATTCTTGTTGAATGTGTTCTGTAAATGGTTTAAAATGTTTTATCTTTTTTCTTTTGAATAGTAAAAAAATTGTATTCATTTGAAATTCAATAATAATATTAATACCCAATGAGCTGTACAATTTTAACATATTGCATATAAAAATGACAGATTTTATATGTATAAAAAAATGTAGAGTATTTCTGTATTAATAATTTGATGAAAATCACAGAATACATATCAAATTTCTATTATTCAAATAATTTATCTGAAATAAATGTCACATTTTTTAGGATGTTTATCTTACATTTTTTTTATTTATTTATTTGACCTATCTCTTTGGCATATAAGTTGCTTTGAACCCAAAGCATTTACCAAATTTCAAACAGTTCTCATTTGCTCATTATTCAAAACAATACTTAGTAGTAAAGCAGGTATCAGAACAATAAGTTACGACGCCACTTATACTTAACTCGAAACATTTGTGAAAACAATGATAAACAGTGTAATTTAACTTCAATGATTTGGAACAGCCACCATAATTTTCATCAATGCACTGTCAACCCATTTCTTCTTTTTGTCTCAAAAGCAAAATAATTCTAATTCTAGCCTCAGTCCATCACCTAACAATGGAAGAGCAAGATTACTTGTCAAAATCCATTTAGCCTTCTGTGGAATTATTGCATTGCAGCAATGGCAAGGAATGGGTCATACACAGATTAAGTGTATGATATTTCCCATATTTTAATATTACAGTCTTGTCCAGTTGAGACAATAGTATTATTATCCAACCAACATATTCGTGTTATTTGGCTTTGAGGATGGGCTTCTGCAAGAAAATAAATATATTTTAATAAAAAAGTATTCCTGCAAAACTTTTACATTAACACAGAGGAAGAAAATTAATATGTTTTTATTTAAAATTTTATCATAATTTAGGTTTTGGGTAAGACATATATAACAAATAAATGGTAAATATTCACTGATGCTAAAGAATATAAAGTATTTAAAATTGCATTTACAAATGTCAAATATTTTTATTTTTCTTAATATTTTCAGAGTTCTTATTCATTCACAATCACTTTTATTTCATTGATTGTAGTTTATGCAAAATTAATGTAAACTATCAGTAAATCACCATCTATTAATTGATGACTGAACATGTAAAAAAAATAATAATTTGATTCTGTTTTGGTTAAATTGTTGTTTCATTTAATTTTCTTCCAAAACAGTTTAATAATTAGCTGTAATATGTATATTCAAATGAGTCTTATAAAACTTTTATTCAATTATTATTTTAGATAACATCTTTATTAAATGATATGTCTAATAATATTAAAATCTAAGTAAATTTAATTTATTCAGTCATTAAAATATAAAAAATAATAATATGATATTACTATACAGAGTACTTAAATAGAAAGCATAAAAAATATTTTATTAGAACAGGAATAAGATGAGTATAACATTCTTTTAGAGAAATTAAGTTTTTTTTTTCTCTCTAACATCAATTTGTGTTATTTAATTCTTTCAATGAAACAATCTATAACATCTAAGACAAAAAAAAAAAAAAGATAATTTACAAAATAAGCTGTTTGAAGTCTCATTAACAATATGAGTCAAAATAATTTATTGTTTGTATTTGTTACAGTGAGAATTTGCATTTCAAACAAATCCAAAATGACTGTTTCTAATCTCTCAGTAAAGAGATTTTATATATCTTTCTTCACTGAGAGATTAGAAATGATGCTATTTTGATACATAGCCATTAAGTAAGATTTGGTAAGAATAACTATTCTGCCTTTAGAAGTGATTTTATATTTGTTAACCTTTTACTCATTAATATCATTTTGGTTTTGATTGAAATGCAAATTCTCACTGTAACAAATACAAACAATAAATAAAAGGAAAGGAAAGAACAGGTTAGAAAATTGCTTCTAACAACATTGTTATTAAAACAAAACTCCAATAAATATTTCTAGTGGCATGAAAATGTTTAAATCATTTTAGTGATAGTCAGAAATAAAAGCTATTAATGTAATTTTTCTATAGTCTAAACATTAAAAAAAACCTTATTTTTATTGGTGCAAGTAAATATCAATTGATGTTATATATATACACACTTTTATATATAATATTTTGCATCTAAACAAAATGATACATGAATATTAAGTAAACTGCCATTTCAGTTCATTTAGTTTTAAAATTTTAAAAAATAATATACAGTGGGTGATCGGTTAACAAACAGTTCAGACTACAAACAAATCGGATAATGAACACCTCACAGAAAAACAAAGAAGCAGCAACGTAAAATAATGAATACCTATTGGTCGTTCCTTGTCTTCAGGTAACAATTCAAAACTTTTCGGAGTACTGAAGATGTCGACATCAACGCTCAACCCAGTATATACTGTTCGGATAGTATTCTTCCGAACTTTGAAACTCCCTTGTAATTCCAGCCTTTTAGTTTTCTGACAAAGAATTTTTTTATAGCATTCTGGAGACTGTTGGGCAGGCACTCATTAAGTTTTGCATAGGTTTTTATTTTTGAAAGGTGAGAGTATAATAGCAAAAGGTAGAGAGTGGGCAGATGTGTGATGTTGCTGGGCAGTATGGCTTGAACAGGTCTATAGTAGGCCACATTTCAATCTTATCTAAGAAAGATACAGTATAATCAAGAAGACTCAATTAAGGTGTAACAAAAATCACATCTGAGAAATAAAGAACATTGAAGAGCTCATAATGAAACTTGAAACTGATCTGATGACAGAAGAACGCCAAGAACTCTTGAATGAAGAACACCAAGAAACTCAGTGAGATATATTTTCTTCTGAAAAAGAGGATTAATGGTGATATCTACTATTAAAGATCTTTTGAAGAAGTGGAAGGATGTCAGAACAAGTCTTAGAATGGCATCCAAACCAGGTTGAGGTTAACAGGCTTAGGGATCGCTACAATTACAATGCTATTAATTACTTCTGAAAAATCTTGAAGAAGAGAGAAAAAACAATAGGCATTAGACAGATTCTTTAACCCCCACAAACGGAAAAATCATGACTAATAAAAATGCAATACTGTGTATATATGTATTTTGATTATTACATATAAATAAACGTAGTAAGAAAGTATATGTTTTTTATTTTTTGGAGTCTCCAGAACGAATTAATCAAATTCCCATAAAAACCCATGGTAAATTGATAATCAGTTAACAAACAATTTGGATAGCAAACAAAGTCTTGGAACAGATTATGTTCGTTAACCGATCATCCACTGTATATTAAAGAAAAAAATACTAATAAAATAAATTACAAAGTAAACATTTATTCTAGTAGAAAATTTAGTAGATAATTTTTGATGCTACAAATATTTATTTCCATTAGAATGTTAGAATAACTAAAGCAGAAAATTCAACAAGTGTAATAATTTTTTTTCTTAGATAACATTTGGAATCATACATTAAAAGGAATACTTTGAGAGATGACCATTTTGAAAAAGATCGAAAATACTGCTCTATGATATTTTTCCTCTCATCAGTTTCAGAAACACAACAGCAATACAATCATTAATTAAATTTATTTATAATATGAAACCCTAAAAAATTACTTCTCTTTGAACTATACAATTTATATGCCAGTAGCAAAAAGTATTGGAAATGATTCAATAAAAAAGCAATATTTAAATTTATTCATTAAAATTTATTTCAGCTCCTTCAAAGTATTCTCCTCCCACTGCAAAGTACTTATGCCAACATTTCTTCCAATCCTCAAAACATGCTTTAAAGTTAAAACCCCTTCAGGACTTGCAGTGAATTTTGTTTTATGGCACCAATCAACTCAAAATGATGACCAAGAAGCAGAAAATTTAGTCAAGGAAGCAGGAAAAAAATCATAGTGCCATATCAGGTGAATATGGAGCTGTTGAACTTTTTGAACAAAAATGTATCACAAGAACATTGTGAGCAGGTACATTATTGTGATACAAAATCCGTGAGTTTTCTCACCACAAATCAGGTCATTTTCTACAAATTTTTCACACAATGCAAAATAGTCAAATAATATTCTTTGTTGACAGTTTGATTAGTCGGAAGGAACTGTGATGCACGACACCATGACAGTCGAATAAAACAGTCAACATGACCTAGATTTTTGACTGACATATTTTTGGTCTTGCTTCATGTTGAGTGCCATTCACCTGATTGCTTTTGACACTGAAACAGCTCAACATAGATCCAGATTTCAACACCCATAATAATGCATTTTAAGAATGATTTGCCTTAAAGCATTTCCTCATCCACTTGAATACATTTTTTAAAAAATTTAATGTCTGGAATGACTCGAGAAGTAACGTGCTGCAAGCCCAAATAATCTTTTAAAATTGCTTGACAAGATCTGAATGATACTGGAATATTTTCAATAATGTCCCTAATTGTTTAATGACAATCACTCAGCACCAAATCTCTGACTCAAGTGACATGTTGTTCATCTTCCAACATTCTCTGCCTTTCTTGTACTACTTGAAAGCTTGTTTTTAATAGACTATCGTCAAAAGCTTTTTGCAGCATTCCAATGTTTTTTTTAGCAGTAATTCCATTGCAAAAACAAAATTTAATGCATATTCTTTTCTCAATTATACGCAGTATTTTGAAAAATTGCTGGCAAAAAAATTATTTGCAAATAAATGCTTGTTTTGCATATAAACAAAAACAGATGATGACATACAGATTGCTGCTAGATGATGTTAATAAAAGTTATATCAATTGAAAAAAAAGAAAAAGAAACAACAGCAGCCTCTTGCACATGCACAATTTAAATGAACTCTTCCCAATAATTTTTTATGACAGTAGTACATATATAAATTTTTTGCTGATATTAAAAGAAACTTATTTGTTTTTTTGTTACTTTCAGTTTTGAGAGAGTTTTTTTTTTACTAACTATACAATTTATCATTTTTGAAGTTTAATATATTGAGTATGAATATGATTATATATTTTGATAGATTATTTTTAAGTTTACTTACTTTTAATATTGATATGCTTAGCTGGTTGTTCAGTACTCCATATTATAATATTCGTATCCAAACTACCAGTAGCAAGATGTAGTGAATCAGGAGACCATGCAACACAGTTTACCCTTGCAGTGTGAAAACACCAATCTAAGCTATGGGCAGGCTAAATAGTAATTATTAAAATTAATATTTATAAACTAACACAACAATAATCATAATAAAGATATAGCCAATAATAATGAATTTTTCCAGTTATTTTTCTAAATTATTAGAAATTACACTAATTAAAAAATTATTTAGTAACTACTTTTAAAAATGGTATTAAATTTTTAAATTAAGACCAAAAAAAATAATTGCATAAATATTAACATAAAACTTTCAAATTATACACACCTCATAAGTGAGTGAACTGTAAAGGACAACCTTACGATTTGCATCACAAGCAGCAAGATAATTTCCATCAGGAGAATATGCAACATCAGTAACTCCACCCATATGTTGCATTGATGTCTTATGACTTAATGTATAACCATTAAGAAGATATATATGAACTGTACTATCCTACATTAAGAATGAAAAATATTATTTTTCAACTTTCAACAATCAAAATTTGGAACATGTCAGCAATGATAGTTTAACTTGTTTTTAAGCATTACTATATGAATTATATAAAAATCAATGAAAAAGAACATGTGTCTATCATGTATTTTTAATATATTATAATAGTAATAATTATTATTATTATAGTAGCTCTCGCCAGTCACTACATTGTTGTATGAGAGAGCTCAGTAATTCTGATGAATCACATAGCTATGCTGGCTGATGCATAGGATCATCCATGCCAGGGAGGTCTGCAAGAGAAATGAAGCCAAGAATTGAACCCACATCTGTGAAGATTAACAACAGTAATGACATGATCCAAATGTAATACCAGCTTGGACATTGCCTGGGTTAACAAGGTTTGAACTCATGAGTTAGGCAGAGGTTCACATTAAAAAAAAATATGTCAGTCTCCCTTGGTGAAAGCAGCACTGGTCCAAGTGTAGACATTGCAGTAGCCATACCACTTGTGAGAAACTGGCTGATTTCTGAAGCAATCCAGCCACAAACCACTAAGGCAGGTAAACCATGCCAAAGGATGAAATGGACATCAGAAATGAATGAGTTTATCATCTGTACTTACTACACCTTCACAAAACTCGAAACAGACATGACCGTACACATACATACATACATACATACATACATACAAGAAAGACATAAGCCGTACATGAGGTGTTTCTCTGGCAGAAAAGAGTGTAATGGAAAGGGGAGGGAAAGGAGAAGAGAGAGGAGACAGACAGCAGAGAAAAATAGGATCTCTCTGAACAGTGTACATATGGCTACAGTACCCTCTATGTTTTATGTTGATGTGCAGTTTTTAGGCTGTGAGGCCGTAGTTCCCCGAAGGGTTTAAAAGAAACCTCGAGTGTAGCAAACACCAATGATTGAATGTCGCCACAAATAGCTAAGTGTAGAAGTTATTGCTAAGTTAGTAAGAAGACTTATGTCTACTTAATACTAATAAAACTGAATGTGATTGCAAATCTTAATACTATTTAACAGCTAGACAGACAGTGCGAAAAGCACACAAACACAATGACAAACTAGACGAGACCAACAGACAAACGAGCAAGACCTTTTTTATTTTTTATTATTATTTTTTTTTTTATTAAACATTAACTTACTACCTAAACTAACCTACCATAACCTAGGACGAACCTAACCAGACAACTAAAGTTAACAAACCCTAATCTAATTTAACCTAACTGGAAACCAAGCTAAGAGTCCATAATCTAACTTACAACTAGGAATAATCAAATTTAGACTGAAAAAAAGAAGACAGAAAATAAGAATTAAAATACAAAGTTGAAAGGCAGCTATATACCGACAGTTGAAACAAAGCAAGGGAAAGCTAACTGCCATCCATGCTTCGAGTGAGTGCTCTCAAGAGTCTCGCTAAGGGATATGAATGTGAGTAGATGATGGAACATTTGTTCACATGTGAATGAGTTGGCATGAGTTGCAAGGCCAGTTGTACCCTTCAAGAATAGCAGCTCTCATTAAACTATCCCTACTGTGATTGTACCTATTGCAGAGAAATACTAAGTGAAGTGGTGTTTGGTCTTCCTGAATACCACAATCACATTGTGGACTGTCCCCAAGGTTAAATCTATGCAAGTATTGCTTAAAGTTGCCATGTCCTGTAAGTAGCTGAGTTAGGGTGTTAGGTAAAGGTGATAAAGAATTGCAGTAGTGTCAACTTTGGGGATGAAAGTGTAGGTGAGCCTACCAGTAGTGTCATGGTCCCATCTGTCTTGCCAGAAAATGAAGATTTGCTTCTTGACATGATTGTTGATGTACAAGGTAGGAATGTAACTGAAACCTCGAGTGTAGCAAACACCAATGATTGAATGTCGCCACAAATAGCTAAGTGTAGAAGTTATTGCTAAGTTAGTAGGACCTACTCTAATCATTTTGTTAGTTACCTACTCTAATCATTTTGTCAACATCCAAGTCGCTATAATCTTGCCAGGGTAAGGTGACAAGATTTTCCAAATAATGAACTTCTTTGAATTTGTTGTTTGAACATATCAAACAACAAATTCAAAGAAGTTCTTTATTTGATTGGAGAAATGATAAATGTAGATATACAGCCACACTCTGTTGTGTATGATTTAGGATTTCAAAGATTACTAAAAAAAATTGTTCCTAATTACAATATTCCCAACAGAAAATATTTTTCTGAAAATATCATCCCTGATATATTTCAAAACATTCAGTCAAAAATTCAGTTATTGATGATGCAAAATATATTTCTTTAATCACTGATATTTGGACAACTACAAGCAATTCTCCTTTTTTAAGTGTCACAGCCCACTAGTTGAAGGATGATTTTCAGAAAGACAGAGCTGTCTTACAAATTGTTCTCTTTGAAGGTTCCCACACAGCTACACAAATCAGATGTTAAACAGATATACTGTTCAATAACATTGTTTGACAAGTGATAAGATATTCTTAGTACTGAGAGATTCTGGAGCAAATATGGTAGGTGGAATCAGGAATTGCAACTTAGAGGCATTATTGTGCTTTATACATATAATGCAGCTGACACTAAACAAATGCATATTTTCTCAACAAGATGTGAAAACTATAATCACAATTAATAGAAATATTGTCACACATTTTAATCATTCTATTGTAATTGTAAGCTTATTAAAAGATTTGAAGACAAGTTAGGTTTGCAGAAACAAATTTATTCAAGCTGTACTACTCACTAGAATTCTACATACTACATTAAAATTCCTACATTGATCCCATATCAGTGGTCTCTCATTGAAAAAATTGTTCTAGTATTAAAACCATTCCAAAAAATTGCTGTGGAAGTCAGCAAATGAGAAACCACACCTTCAATAATTTGCACAATAGAGACTCTGAATTTATTCTTATCAAAAGCAAAGAGCAGTAATTCCTTTAGTGGCATTAATGCCACAATAGAAGGAGTAGAAGATTCAATAAAGAAAATATTTTCAGCATATATAGAAAACAAGACTTTATGCTTGTCATCTTTATAAGATCCAAGATTCAAAATATAATTTCAAAAAGAGGATAAGGTAGAGGAAATAAAGAGATGGACAACCAATAGCTTAAATGATGTTGATAATTCAAAATCTCAAAAAGAATTAAATTCTGAAGCTTCTTCTGGAGATGATCAAGATGAAGGAGAATATCTAACTTTTTCTAATTTATTTGTTGAATTAGCTTCTGGTAAATGAAAGAATGAAGAGCATGTTTTGAAAAAGAAAGAAAAAAACAAAATGAGCAAACAAACATTTCAATCAAGAATTAGAAAAATATTTACATTTACCCCTTATACGAAGACAGTGACCTATTTTTGTGGTGGAGAAGTTCAAAAGAACTTTTTCCTAATTTGATCAAGATAGCTATGAAATAGATATTTCATAGCTATAAGTGCCCCAGCATCTTCCATTGGAAGTGAAAATTTTCAGCAATGGAGGCAACATTTATGAGCTGGCAAAAAATAGGCTATGCCCTGAAAATGGTGAAATTCTCATGTTTTTGCATTACAATTTAAGGGTTTTAAACTTTAAATAAAAAGAGATATTCCTTTTTTAACCTATTAAAAACTAATCTCTTTAAAAGAATAAAATAAAAATAATTTTTTAATAGGTTATAATATAACCTATAATGTGTAAAAGGAATAATTTGAGTTGAAAAATTTCTTTTAATATTCATTTTGTCATATAATAAATATATAACAGAAATGTATTATTTTTTATTACTAGCCTTATACATAACATTCTAACAAAAATATTAAAATGCAAAAATTGGCCAGTTATCAAAATAAGAAAAATAGGAAAAAATGGCCAATAGCAATTAATCGAGAAAATGGCCGATATGGCTGATTACAGATTACTTACCAATTGATCCTTAAACAAAATCATGCCCAGAACTGCTATTCTCAAAAAGAAATTTAAAAATTCTATCTAAACTGTTATATTTTTTTCACTAACATAATGCATTAAACATCTTTCAATCAAAAATTTATTAGAACAGGTCCTAAACATCTTAATTCTGATCAGATGCAACTAGCACTGAATTTTAAAAAACTTTATTCTTATTTTGGAAAAAAAAAATTAAAAATACAGAATAATTTAATATAATTAATCTTTAAAAACTGGTAGTTGAACAAAGTAATTATTATTTTCAATATTTTGGGGTAAATTACAATTTTAATTCATTACTTTATTACAAGAAACATGTAATTATTATAAAAAACTTACTTTTGATCCTCCAATAGCAACATCAGGTTCTTTCGGATGTATGCTAATAGAACTTGGCTCAAAATCAACAGGTAATGAGGACATAACTTGTCCATTGTTAATTATTGATACCTAATTTTTTTTTAAATAAACTGTCTTAAACATTTGAAATAATTACATAAAAATCTAATATCAAAAACTCACATCATTAATTCCAGCTACTAAGATGGTATCATCAATTACAGTTATACCTTTTGGTTGTGATTCCATCTTCAAATCAAGTGTTCTAAAATAAATAGAAAAATAGTCACTAAAAATACATAATTTATTAAATTACATAAGGAAAAATAAAACTGTTTTATATTGACAAAATCATCATCATACTGATTTTAATAAAAATAAATAAATCTATACAAAAACATTCAGACACATTGTAAAATATACGATTTACTTCCAACTCCAAACCAAAACAGTACTTATTTCAATATAACTTTGATCACTAACAATTTCGAACTTATCATTCTTCTTCAGGTGAACCAACGGACAACTTTACAGTATTCAAACAGATCTTTTTCAAATTAATTCTGAAATGGAATATTCAAAGGAAACCCATACAATCATCATCTTACTTTGCGCATGCTCTGTTGATAGAAACATATTTATGATACATGAGAAGCCAAAAACTAAGAGTTTGCCAGGCTATCGATAAGGATAGTTCATCCTTATTGTTGATACATTTATTTTCTCTTGCTGTTTTATATATATATTGCTTCCATCAAGTGCAAATGGTGTGGTTGTTGTGTCGTGTATATTAACTTTGCCTCATCTAATAATGTTATAATTCTTTCTTTAAATTCAAAGATAATGTATATCAACAAAGAAGAGGTGTACCCATGGGGAGCCCTGTAGCAGGAGATTTACGTGAAATGGTAATTAGACTCCTCAAACAAAAAGTACTGCCTGACCAACTCCACAATATTATTACATACAAGAGATATGTGAATGACATACTCATACTTTGGAAATGTAAATATGACATGCCTTCAGTCATAATCGCATTTAATAACAATTCTTACGGCCTAACTCTGGGCCTTGAACAAGAGAGCTGCACACAAGTTCATTTTCTCAACATGAACATCATATTTAAAGCAGCAACCATTATCACAGAGGTATACAGAAAACCGCAGGCAGATCAATTGTACATCCCTGTACATTCTTGTGACCCAAGGCATTATAAGATAGCGGCATTTAATAGCTTGGTTAAAACAGAAAAACAAGATACAGAAAAACAAAATCTGGAGAGAGAGAGAGAGAGAGAGAGAGAGAGGAGATGAAAATCTTTATCAATGATGCACATTCAATTATAATTAAATCAACTTACGTAAATTGATGAGTAATAAGATTTACAGAACGAACAGTATCATCTAAACCACAAGTAAACATTGTATTTGATGTTGTAGCCATATCTTGTACTTGATTGCTATGACTAACTCCTTGAACTCTGCTATTTTCACCTGAAGCAGGATCCCAAAATGGTAAAAAAAATTAAGGAATTTTATCTTTAAAATATAAACTATCTTTAGAAATATTCTTATAATTTTTAATTAATATAACATTAAAAGGATATTAATAAATCCATCATGACTTCCTGTATACAAAGTTGATTTATCAGGCGTTACACCCAAAGCAGTGATTGATTTATTATGACCCTAATATAACAAAATAATTTATAAACAAATTTTGCATATCATCACCATTATTTCAAAAATTCTTACCGTAACAACTCGCAGAGGTTTAGTAGGATTATTTGGGTCCAAATAATTTATGAAACCAGAGAGTGAAACTGACAATAGGTATTGACCTTGCCATAAACAACTTACTTGTTGATCTAGTACATCTGAACCCATTGGAAATTCACTAAAACATTTAAAATGATATTTTAACTGCATATTTTAAAAGATTTTTAATTCAAACATAACATTTTTTTAAAAATATACTTACTTTATAACAGATAATGTTGATACATCCCATAATTTACATGTTTTATCACCAGATGCTGTGAGTAATTGTTTGCCATCAGGACTCCATGAAACCTTATTATTGAAATTATTTTATCAGAATATATACTTTTATCATCATTCTTGGAATAAATCAGACACATGATGTGAACAATTTTAAAATTAATAATTATTTAAACATATGCAAAATAGATATTTACAGCATATATACCGCCTTTATGAGCAGGATTGTCAAATTCTCCAACTTTACTATAATCATTTCCCTTATACAAAAACATCTATCAAAAAATTTAAATATATTATTATTTGCAAAAATTTCTTATTAGATAAAGACAGAAGTTAATCTTACCTTTCCATCAAAACCACCACTAGCAAAAAGCTCACCATTTGGTGAAAATCTTACTGACTGTACAAATCGAGTGTGATCCTAAAATAAAAATATATTAGTATTTAATATTTGTTGTTTACATTATGTTAATTATCATCATTACAGAATTATTAAAAAAGACTTGTGTTATATTTTACAACTAGATCTATTTGCAATTTACACTTCTTTTATTATAAAAATACATTTATATAATAACTGTACGGTGCATACACATTTCAGATAAATATAACTTTAGGGTCATAAATTAAAAATGTGTTCAAAATCATTAGATAATCATATATAGAGCAATTTTAAAAACAAACACATTTTGGAAGTTAAAATTAAAAGAAAGCTGAGTTATCATAACCTTTTAAAAATTTCAATAGACATAATAACAGTTGTTTTTGTTTTTAATTGTAAACTGTTTTCAGGTCTATTCAGACATATTTCCTTAGTTTGCTTTAAAAACAGAAGAATAAAAAACAGCTACTTCAAATATGAGCTTAAAAATTCAAACTCTTGGCTTAGAGTGACAAACATTTTAATATCAAATATTTTAAATCATGTTAATGAATCAATAAATAAATGCACTGTTTTTAAATTTTAATTTTTTCTCTCCTCAACTTAAAAAGATTAGTAAGCAGTATCAAGTTTACCATTTACTTCTATTTAGTGCTAGTTGCTTAATCTTGCTATAAGGTTCAGCATTTCACTACATCCCAGTACTCCATTCTTCTTATCCTCTTGCCATTTCTCTCTCCTTTCCATCATATAATACCTTCATCCTATTAATTCAACTGCATCTATGACCTTATTTTATACTATTTTTTTGTTATATTATTGTCTACTTAGGACTTAGCACATCATTAAGACTTATTATAATAGTAAAAATGTTCCTATTTAACAATTACACCAAAAAATTACTTGATAAATGGATACAAAAGATAATTATTGATGAACCTAAGAATAAACAATTTGAAGATAATAAAAAATGTGTAAAATTAATATATATACCAGGGATCACCAAACTACGGCCCATGGGCTGATCCAGCCTGTGAGATCAGCTTATCCGGCCTGCCACCACACTGTCCCACAAATGAACCAAAATATAATTATTTATATTTATATGGAAAAATCATAGATTGTAGAATTACTATGTAGAAAAAATTAAAATAAGTATAAGTAAAAATGCCAAAATTGGTCCAATGTAATTTTTACATCTGACAGTAATATAATTTTTAGGAAAATCAGTGAAATAAAAATTCAGTGACTTTGGATATCAGAGCACTTTTTGAGTAAGTACCTGCAATGAAGTTTCTAAGAAAAGTGATTACGAGCTTGCTGCAGCAATCATGTTTGCATATTGGTAAATAAATATCAGGTCAGTCCATAAGTTCGTGCGCATTTTTATCTACAAAAAAAGCAACAAAAATTTTAAATTAAATCTTATTTCAATCTATAATGTATTCACCATTATTTTGTACAATTTCTTGCCATCTTGACAATAACTTTTTAATCCCGTCTTTGTAAAATGATTTCGGTTTTGAATCAAAATATTCAGAAATAGCCTTTTTTACATTGTTCTCATCCTCAAAAGTTTTTCCTTTTAAAAAATTCTGCAAACTCCGAAAAAGATGATAATCACTGGGAGCAATATCTGGCAAATATGGTGGATGAGGTAAAATTTCCCAGTTGAAGCTTTTGAGTTGAGCAGTTGACGTTGTTGTCAGTTAGCTATTGACAGTTCATGTGGTATCCATTTTCCTAGCTTTGAAACTTTTCCGATTTGTTGTAGATGTCTATGAACAGTTCCATGGGATGAATTTAAACGTTCCGCAATTTCATCAACTGTTAAAGATGGTTCTGCTTCAACTAGTGCAGAGAGAGCATCATCATCAAAGTCAACAGGTCTTCCAGTACGAGCCTTATCCTCCACACTAAAATCATTATTTCTAAATCTTTCAAACCACTTCTGCGCAGTCCTTACACTAATTACAGTTTGATTATGAACAGTATTTAATTTTTTGGCTGCATTTGTAGCATTCTCATCACTTAAAAATAAAAAGTATAAAACATGTCTCTTATATTCATCTGTTACTTCCATTTTAACGAAAATAAACAACTGAAATGTTCCCAATTCTGAACAGTATTATATGAATGAGATCCAATTTAACACTTCAGTGTAAAAAGTATCACATTAGACTGGCATTTTTAACAGCAAAACAAGATTTTTCTCAAGGTCATAAAATACCCACGAACTTATGGACTGACCTGATATGTTGGTTGCTTTTTTATTTTTTGCATCTGGACAGGATCGAAAAATCCCCAGGAATTTGTTGGAGGGTGGTCCATCTGGATATGTCAGGCCCTGTCCCTCACTATCTGACTGCTCCGTTGTGGGGCCTGGCCAAACCTGTAATGGGCTTGCTAAAATAGACAGGCCATCAGTGCCCACAGGGCAAAAAAAAATTTTTAAAAAAAAAAGATTATGCAGCCCACTCTTGTCATTCTCTCAGTTATCTCGCCCACTGTGAAAAAAAGTTTGGTGACCCCTGGTATATACCAAAATTATTTGAAAGAGTAAAGATAATATTAGGTAATAAAATTAATTTAATACAAAAAAAAAGACTTATCTATAAAATATTTATATTATAGAAGTAATAAAAAAACTTGAAACAATAGAAGAAAAATGGGTAGTATATTCTTTTGATTGTAGTTGTGAACAAAGAAAAGCATATATAGGTGAAACAAAAAGGAAATTAAAAATATGTATAAAAGAACATATCAGAGCCATCAAAGAAAATTATGCAAATTCAGCAGTAGCAGAACATTGCAATAAAGAAGGATGTGAAATAGATTTAAATATGATAAAAATAAGGAAAAAAAAAAGCTGTTTTTTAAAATTATTTCTATTTGAACATATCTATATAAAAAGACAAAATAATAAAATAAATAACAACTTAGGAATGGAAATCCACCAATCATGGAACAATATTATTTATGGAGGGCATGGAAAGTTGAGGGGTATATAAAGGGAAAAAGTTTAGTGGAGAGAGTGAAATTGAGCATGCAACGAAAAGACACAGAATGGTGGATATGTAAGAAAGACTGTTTTAACAATTTTATAATTTAAGCCTTGTAATTTTAAATATATGTGTTTATTTTTATACAGGTATAATTGTTCAAGTAAAAAGGAATAATTTATATATATTTTGATGTAATAAAAAGCAATGAAACCTTAAATCATTTAAAGAATGTATACATTATTGTTGGGCATTTTAGATTATTATTGTAATTTTTATAAAATTTGTTATAGCACCTTGTTGATGTAAACCTGCTGAAAAGGGACCTTGAGGTCCAAAACACAAATATTGTGTGTACAGGTGAAAATCCAGATGAAAAATAAAGATTGTTTTTTCTGAATAAGACTTCCTCTTTTTACAGAAACAAAAACACAAGTATAATAAAGTCCTAATAATGTGCTAAGTCCTAAGTAGACAATAATATAACAAAAATAATACCTTCATCCATTCTGAATAATGTCCTATCATATTGTTCCTTTGTTAAAAATGCTTCTGGTTTCTCTGGCTCTCTAAAATCTGCTCATTGAACAATTTTCCAGTTCAAACTACTTTCAGCATTCTTCTCCAGTACCACCACTCAAAAGGCCTACAGTTTTGTCTTCTGCCTTTTCCTCAATGTCCATGTTTCTAAGCTTTGTAAAGTCACACTCCAAACAACGTTTGGTGATTTTTTTCTTTTCACATCCACAGAGATGTTCTGTAAAGTTAAACATAACTTTACAACATCCTTTTCATTCTTGAGAATGTTTACTTTCCCTGTGAAATTCTTTATCTTTTTCACACTTTCCATCAGACATTATGAAACTTCCCAGGTAACAGAAGCCTCCACAATAATTCTTCCCCTCCAATGTTATTCAATTATGTCTTCTATTTCCTCTTGAACAAATCATTTTTTTTGGTCTTTGTATGAATTATTTGGCCTTTAGTGCATCACTGAGGTCTCTGAATGCCTGCTTAGATCTTGTTTGCAAGTTGCAACCAGAGCTATGTTGTCTGCAAAATGTAGCAATTGAAAATTTTACCATTTATACCTTTATAGCAATTTTTGCATAATAATCATTTGAATTTGAAGAGACGGGGAAAAAAGAGATAAAAAATATCCTTTCGTTGGTAACATTCAATTTTATGCATTAATGGACACCTGTTTGCTCCCATCAGTCTGTTGAATTGAGGTGTTACTGTATATGTTGTATAATTAATAACAAGTGTCACACACCCAATCAGCAATATGATGCTTGAATGTAGTTAGTGTGACATTGTTGATCTCAACTGTGCAAATGCCAGAGTTAACACTTCACACTTTAAATTTTGATTTCATAAAAACCAAAATGTTATATATTGTATAATTAGAATTTCATAACAATTGCATTAGATATTACTTTTTACTTTTGAGAATTTTTCCAGATGACTATACCAATTCCATGTATGTTCCATGCATAATCAATTCATTGATATAGATTTAAGTAATCTATAGTAGATTTAAGTAATATAGATTCTTACATTCAATGTTAGTTTGAATTTAAAAGGTGGACCCTCATAAACGCCTACAGAATTATCTTCACTACCAGTTATTATGCGAAAAGGGCGAGTTGGACGGAAATCACAAGAATTGATCAAATTACTATGTCCAGCAATTTCTCCCACTGAAGTTCCTGTATCAGCCATAAAAACATGCCCAAATCTGAAGAAAAAAAAATATAACATTTTAATATAATATTTAAATGATAAGATGATTATCAAAAATAATTAACCTCTCTCTTCCTTCTCCTACAACAACAATACGTTGATTATCAGGTGACCATGACAAATCTTTGATTGTTCCAATAAAAGGCTGAAATTCATTCTTAAGTAAATGTTCCTTTTGTGTTGTATCCCATATTCGAACTTTTCCAGATTGATCTAAACATATAAATAGTAGTTATAATTTCCTAATTTTCCTTGGTCTAAGCAAAATTCTAAATTTGAGTTTAAAAATTTATCACATTTTCTATTATACAATATTACGAGATTCTCTGAAATGTTTATTATATAAAACTTGATTTAAGAGAGATTATAAATCCTATTAAAAATTTGTTTTGAATAGAATATCTGAATAATGTAAAACTCAAATTGAAAATATTTTGCATAAGTTTAAGATCTGGAATTATTTCAATTAAATTAAACTTTTAATTTAACTAATTAAACTTTTTTCACTTCACATGTTTTATCCAGAAAAATTATTTTGCTTTAAGTAAATTTTTGATGTGTAGTTACATTTTATAAATAATTATATAGTATAGCAAAACAAAAATACTACAACATTAAAGCTAGAAATTTTAATTAAAACAAAATGCACAAAAGCACTTTTCATCTGAACTAATTTTTCTAGTTTGGTGAATGAAGAAGTCTGAAGAATAAAATGCTAAAAAAGAAGTTTACATTTTATATTTTTAATCTTGTTACATAATTACAAAATATTTAATATTTTGTAATCAAATTTAAAAAATTTAAACTCTTCTACTACAGCATATTATTATTGTTCTGTTCTAAGTTCATAGCTGAAAGAATCTAGTTAGATTTAGCTAAAAGTGCTTTATATGCTTTTATTAAGAATTTCTAATTTCTGTTTATTAACAATGTTATTAACTATTAACAATGTTAAACAGACATTGTTAATAGTTACCAAGAAATCACCTACAAAAGGCCACACATTTTCTAAGAAACCAACTTACACAAAATGTATCCACAATGGTACTGTACCATAATGAATAAAAATTTTGGTAATGTTTTAGATTAATGTACACATGCACATACCTAAAAACAAATTTTTCCAAAATATTTTGTTCAATATACTTGGTATCTACTGAATATTAATACTAAACACATCTGACTCACCTATAAATTTAGCCTTATAAAGAAGTATCAGGTTAGATTTCCAACATAAACATTAAGCACTTGTAATATGACGGTTAACTTGTGTTTGAGTGAAAACTGTTGTTTGATTATAGCCAAGCACATTAAATTATATAAAAAGTTTACTAATCATTTTTTAAAAATTATTTTGATTGGTTATGATTTTTCATGTTGTGTACACAATTGTTTAAATGGAAACCCAACTTTGGTATGAGTCAGTACCCAGATAAATAGCTTTGTATCTATTACCTGAATACAAAAGCAAGTAGCCAACAATATTATTCCATTATAAGCAAGGGATAAATATTCAAGAAAAAGGGTTAAAAATAGCTGAGCTAACAAAATTCCTAATTTATCATCATCAATTTGCAGCTTTACAAATTGAGCATCTTAGCTATTAATCTATTAATCAATCTCTCATCTATGAAATTTTATAAACAATTTTATATTTACATATTTAATGCTTTATTTTTTTTCTATGCTTTTCAAATACAAACAACATTTAAATGACCTTATTATAACTTATATTTTGAAATATGTAAATTAAGATATTTTTTGATATAAGTATTATTCTGATCTTTAATATTAAGGCTGCTTGCCTTCATAATCTTTTTATTTAAAAACATTGTAAGCAGTCTTTAGTTCATAAACTGCATTACTGGCACCTTGTAATGAAGCTCACATAACAAAACCTCATCAACTATTGCAGAAGAAAATATATATGTAAAAAGAAAATTTTCTAATTAACAAATATGAAAAAGGGTCTGATATTTTGAATATTTGATATAAGGAAAATTCTATATATGAAAAACAAGTGATCCATTACAATTACCTTTAAATGCATTTTATAGTCTACTTGTAAAGTTATTTAACAAAACTTGGAAAAAAACTTAAAAAAGTGTGACACTTGTTTAATTTATTTGCACTTCTCCTGTAAGCCATTTATAATGGCTCCACAGGCTGTTGTATTCATGGCAGTATTGCCAGCAAATGCTTATCAAAAAGTTATAATAAACTACTGTTTTGTCCAAAAGGAAAGCTATGCCTAAAACTTCAGCTTTTAAATTAATTAAACACATTCTTTTTTTTAAAATTCCTTGTAAAATATAAATTCAAATAAACATTGTAGAATGTAATATTGTAGATGTAGCTTTTATTTAATGACACACAAAATGTATAAGATAGCATAGATATACTATAATCGTCATTATTATTACAATTTTGGTGTGATTGAGGGAGTTAATCGATTTGGCAAGTGAAAAGCATAACATCAAATTCAGTCTTTACATTAGCACATATCTTTTATTAAAATTTTTTCACAAAAATGAATAATAACTATTCTGTTACTGTTACTGTTACAAGGGTTAACAGTAACAGAATAATTAATTTAAACAAAATAATAATAATTTTGTTTAAATTGATTATTCTGCAACATAAATGATGTTTTCTTCATCAGCTGTATTTGAGTCCCATCATGTCAATTTGTTCTTAAATTTTTATAAGAATCACGTTTAATAGGAGGAATGAAAAAAATTATTTTTAGTTTTATCCATCTTAATATAACAGGTTCTCTTTTTTCAAAAACAACTGTCACCAAAATTAAAACAATTGTTCAATATTCCACAAGTATACTTACTTCTGTGGCAATTGGACTGTAACTAATTAATTTCTTTTACTTACATTTTGTGATGAGAAAACAGTAAATTATTTAATGTTATCTACAAAGCACTAGTCAGCGCACACTGCAGCATTGCAAATCGCAGTGTGTGCTGGTGAATTAATGTTACAGTATGGCGTTACTTAGATTGGCCTTAAAAATAAATTTTTTTCAATGACCAATAAAATTTTGTAATTAAATAGTATTGATCCATATTATTAGGAAAACTTTGATGCATATTATTAGGAAAACTTATTATGAATATAAAAAGTTACGAGTATATTAAGTGCTTTCACACTAAAATCTAACAAAAAATTCAAAATGTGGAATTAGTCAATTTGGCTTGTGAATGGATCAAATGATTGTGTTATAAAATTTTGAAATTATGGAATTTTACCTGATTTGCCTGAGCAGTAGATACCCTGTAATATTATACATTTGGATAAATTTTGATAGAAATTAATTTCCCAAGTAAATTCACTAGGGAACTGAATGGTCTTTTAGTTTAACACTAGTTTGAATCCAGTTCTTTTCATTCTGGCCTTTTCATATGAAATTATTAATTTAAAGTTGAAAATTAAATCATCATTTATTTTCAAAGAAATAAAACAAACATTCATTCCCAAAGAATATTATACCAGATTTAAAAAATTAACAATTGACACATTAATAATACTATCAAAATAAACAAAATTTTGTTCTCTTACAAAATTATTAGAGTATGAAAACAATACCTGCTGAACATATGTAAAAACCACTTGGAGAATATTTTGCTACTGTAGTTTGTATAGAATGTTCTGTATAGATGTCCGAGATGGCAGGGTTCTAAAAACAATCAATATCTATTAAAATTATTTGATTTGAAAATATTATATAGAATAAAAATAATTTAATAATATAAAAATGTTTAATTCATTAAGTCATTACTTGATTAGTAAATGCTGAAGTGACTATTTTATTTACATACTTCAGTTTTTTTATAATGGTGCCAAGTATCATTCATTTTCATAAAAATGAGTAAAAATTGGCACAATAGTAAATCCTTAAAAATAAAAATAATGCTTATTTAAAAAACTTCTAAATGTATTAAAAGTAACATTTCCAGTTTTACTCTATGGTTAGAATTTGGGAAATTATCTGTACAAAATTTTATAAATTTTAAATATAAATTCACTTGATATTTTTTTTATTCAAGCAAGCATGCATGCATGTCTCAAATTTCCCCAAGGATTTTAGAATATTGAAATTTTCAAATTTGTTTTGTACCTTTCATCAGGTTTACTTTAATGAAAACTGACAGTGCATTTTTTCCTACCATTTTGTCCTTAGCTTTCCTACCATTGAGTGTCATTGTCACTGCTTTCAGATTTTAGCCTTTAAGATTGTCACTGTGTTTTGTTTTTATAAATTTAATGAACTGTACTAAATATGAAGATTAAGCACTTTTAGGTAAGTATTATTAAATATTTTTAAACTGTAGGTAAGTAATCATTTGTAAAAATGACAAAGCAAAATACAGCAATATCTCAGTATTTGAACACAAATTCTAGAAGAAAAAAGCACCACTTTGTACTCAACTGAACAAACATGATCCGCTAGCTTTTTAATTAACATATTTTTTTATTTTGTAATCCATAAAAAATTTTATATAATAAAAAATGAAGTTGTTGCTGATATTTCCAATCAAGATCAACAAAAACACTGATGATGATGATAGATACTGTGTAAAAAGAATTTAAAATTAATATTAACATGTAATACAGTTGAGATTGTTAGTTAATCATTGATTGGAAATAAATTATGGATTGCTTTAATAAACGTATTTCTTTTATTAATGAAAAAGTATACTACACTTTAACTTTTGGGATCTAATCTCATATTTTGCATTAGTCCTTTGTTTTGTACAGCACAGTTTTGCATAACATGAAATTTTTTTAGAACTTAACTACTGTGTTATACAGTGGATACCTGTATTTACATCAACCACTGGTAAGAAATTAACTATTCTCATAGCAGCCGAAGTGGGAGAAACTATTTTACAGGCCAATTTATTATGACATCTATCAAATTGTTCTTTTTGCATTTTATTGTATTTAATTTTTTTCTTAAGTATTAAAAAATTGATTTCTGTTTAATCAATTAACTAATCTAAAAACATAAATCAATTTTTTGACTTCTTTGGAATTCTTTTGACTGAGATGGTGTGTGTTTCTTTATGTAAAATAAAGAAACACACATCATCTCAAGGTAAATTCGTTACATCCATTTTTTGATTCTCACCATAAAATTTTTTACAGAAATTTTAGATAAAAATATTTGTAGTTTTAACACTCTTATCATAAAAATCAATTATCTTCTATGTTTATAACATAATATACATATACATCAAATAACACAGTACAGGTAACCCCCATATAAAACGGGAGTTACATTCCAAAAAATTGCAGTGTTATGCGAATCTGTTATACAAAACAAAGAACTAGTGCAAAAAACGAGGGTTAGGTTCCAAAAATTAAAAAGCATGCTGTTAAATCCTTATTTAAATCGGATTTATTATTCATTTTTTTCATAGGTAAAATACTTATTATTATTATTATTATTTAAGGAAATATTTTACCAGAGGATTATTCATCCTATATATGATCTCATCATGAGCATCATCAACTGGTAACAGTTTTTGGATGCGTTCGTTAATAGCGGTCACTCTACAACAGGTGCACACTGCTGTTTGTAGACATTTAGGAATGACAGTGAAAGAAAGATGGCGGTGCCTGCTCTATCAATAGTATCATGATGGAGGAATCTATAATTCTAAAATGAGCTTTTAGAGGCAAAAGAAGGGTCCCAGTTGTAAAATTTAACCATTAAATAGATTATTTGTTGAAAGAGCATTCAAAGTAGCCACGAAAACAATTAGAATGTTCACGCGGAGGTATAAAAGAATGCACCCTTTATTACATTTCATGTTGTACGAGGGTTTTACCCAATTCCCAAACCGTGTTGTGAACCCGTGCTATAAAAGCACCGTGTTATACGGGGATGTTCCCAATTCTCGAACCGTGTTACAGTAAATCTGTGCTACAGAAGTGCCATGTTATACAGGGGTTACCTGTATATACAGATTATGTGTGTAGATTATACAGTAGAGCGTCATTTATCCGAATCAATTGGGGACTGGGGTTGTTCGGATAACTTATTTTTCAAATAACCGATTATGTACAACAAAAATATATTAACCTATCCCATGTTGAAATTTTTCTCCGTTGTGTGTCACTTCGCGTTGAATTTTCGTTAATATTAAGCTTAACGAAAACTTTTTAAAATAATAATCGTGGCCATTGTATCATTAAAAATTATTTTTTTATTTTGTACAAACAAAATAAGTATATCGAAAAATATAAAAACAAAAAGTTGATCAACTTTTGTGTATCGTGCTGAATCAAGCATTTTTGATAGTAGATCGATCAACTTTAGAAGTTGATCTACTATCAAAAACGCTTGATTCAGCACGATACACAGTCCTCAGAAAAACACCACACAAAAGTGCCAGTGCTGCCAGCAAAAACACACACACCAACAAAAAAAAATATTGGAGTAGTGCAAGATATAGCCAAAGTTGCAGCGCCACAGCACTAGCGAAAATTTAAATTTGCCGACTGGAATGCTTCCGGATAACCGACGTTTCGGATAACTGACTTTCGGATAAACAACGCTCTACTATATATATATATATATATATATATATATACACACACACACACACACACACAATCTGTATATATAAGATAATTGATTTTTCTGATTGATATATATACACAATGATATACATCATTATTTAGAGCACACACAGATCTGTATTTCATACTATAAGTATCAGGTTGTTGTAGACAAGTATGTTGTTATACAGGGTGAGTCAAAAGTCCCTTGCATCTTTTTCATTTCAAAGTACTGAAGATATATTCATTTTGTTAATTTAATTACATTGCACAAGTCATGCAAGGAGAATCAGATGGGACCTTTGTTGACCTTAAAAATAACTTTCAACAACAAAAAAGGGTGCAAAGGATGTAGTTTTGGAATGAAGCAGTACAAGGGACTTTTGACTCACCCTGTATAACAACATATACAACAACCAACACTCTTAAAGCACAAAAAGATTTGCTCCAAATCTTTTTCTGTATCCTTCAAAAATACTTTCATTACATTCCCTTTCACCAATGAATTTGTGCATTCAAAAGCTATGCAGAGTAACATTATTGTTTATTTCTTGGTAAAAAGTGCTCTCCAAGTATCTGAATAACTACTAAAGCAGTTTCTCATATAGCAGAAATGTCCCTGTAACATGCAAGTTCATTATCCAATAGAAATCAGCCAGACAACTTATTATATAGGGCCACTACAAATAACCCCCTTATGCATTAGTAGAAAGCATTTCTCAGTAAGAATTTAAAGCCTAGTCCATCATTGTTCAAATAAGCAGTAAGATAACTTCTCTAATTAGGTTTATTCAGTTTGATTTATATCATTTTTGCTAATGTATACTTTTTAATGAATATATTTGTTGTATTATATAAGCATTAAAATAATTTATATTTCAAATAAAAATTTGATTCATTAAAAGTTTATTGCAATGAAGTATAATACTTCCTACATAACTTCCTGATAGATAGCCTATTATTACATACTTGATTAATGGTCTATGATAATATCTTACCATTTTTGGTTTATGGAATGAAAATAGCTTTCCATTCTATGAACTAAAAATTAAATTCAAACCTAACCTAAATAAACTGATTACTTATCAAATATCAAAATAACATGGCTTTAAGAAACTTTTTACAGTTAAAAAAGTCTCATCAGTTGGTCTTATCATTAACAATTTTTTTTACTAATTTTATATTGCAGATTTTTATTAAATTTTAAAAATTCCTAAAATATCCATATAAAGAAAATAAGATTACCTCAATATTTCTGATTATGACACTATTTCCATTTGTATACAAAAAATTTTTGCCTTTCGGGTCACCTCCAAGAACAAGAGGCATTCCTCGCTGGGTGCGAGGAAGGGTGGAAAATGTGCTTTCTAAAAAATATTTTTAATCGTTTAATAAAATTTTATTAAAATATTTGTTTATATACATTGTATTATATATATATATATAATTGCATTTCACTATAATAATTATAACAATTTCAAATAAATTACAAAAATAATTTAAATATAATTTTAATCTCTAAATAAAAATTAAAAAAAGTGTGTATTCTTTCCTTTAAAAATTTAAATTACATTTAAACCAGGAAACTATAGAAGTGAAATCAACTTTGGCAGTTAACCAGACTAACAAAAATTCCTCACTATATTTAGTTTTTCAATAAAACTTGATCCAAGTGAATGACCTCAAAATCTTCCTATACTAATAATCCTATCTCAATAGAAAAGGAAAAACAGAAAATAGCTATATTTTCAAGTTCTAGCTTTATGCATAGAACCATTTTATTTATTTATTATTATTACTTTTTATATTACTGTTCTAACCATAGACAATTTTGACCTTATCTCAACTTGTAAAAGTAAATTTTTTATTGATATTAAAATTTAATACCTCAAATTAAAAGATAAAAAATGATATCATATATTAAATCAAAACTATAGTAAAATTAGAATAATTTAAACTTTAAAAAAAAAATTCAGAATGAGTTTTCTAATATTTTCAGAAAAAAAAATCTAAAAAATATTCTGTTCAATTTGTTAATTCAAAAAATACATTTTTAAAATATATCTTTTGAATGTAAAGAAGTTCTTAATTATATTTTCAGTTCTTTTGAAATGAGCTATTTTCAAGTCACAGTCAAAATATATATACTACTTTAAAAATGTTTAAACACTACAATAATTTGGCTGTGAAACATAAAGCTCAGTCTTTAAAAGAACTGAAAAAGTCTTACTGTATAAAAATAGGATGGATTCAAAAAAAAGATGTTAAATAATTTAATAACAAGATGAAAGTTATTCAATATATCTTAAAAATTTAATTTGATTTGAATTCTGAAATGGCCAAAATCTGTGTGTGTAAACCATAAAATCATCCACACATTTTACTTAATTATACAAAAACTTTCAACTTGGATGGGCTTCAAAATTTTTTTTATAAAATGGAACTATATATAAAATTAAATATAACAACTGGAAGAAAAAAAAAATGAGTTCTCTGTTTTAACAGTCTTCTCAAAAATACTGGAGTGAGAAATAAAAAAGTTTTGTTTGTGATTGTTTAACCAGTAATTGAACTTTAACTGAGGCCTGCTTTAGGTAATGAATTAAACAGACTTCCAAATTGGACCATTAGAACGATGATGTTTGGCTTTAAACTTTGTATATATCAAATTCATGCAGCTGATTGATTTCGTTCTAATTTCTCAAACAGGTATTTCAACGCATGCACCACTGTCTCGCAGTCTTTAAAGTTAATACAGTTGCCTTTCAAGTTGGCTTTATAAATTTTCAAGGCCTCCAAGGTGACGAATACAGTCTCTTTGAAAGGACTGCCTAATTAATCTGATGTTCTAGAGGTCCGCATGAACTTCTGGGTCAGTGGCATATGTGGACAAGGCAGTGGTATGCAAGGTCGAATTGATGTTCATGTATCCTTTTGCAAATTGAATGTATGGTTGAGCCAATATAAATTAAGTCCCTTCAGAATCTATCATCCCTGAGGAATAGAGTATACTCCTGGGGCTCTGCTTAGATCTATTTTATCTTTTGCATTGCATAGCAGGTTGTAAATTGTACCAAATCTCCTGTACATGATTTCTATACCATTCTGGTTTGCAATATCCTTGTATAAGGAGTCAAATGTTGATTGAACTGAACTACAGTGTGCCTGGAGCCAGTGATGCGTTGTTGATCTCTGTTAGAAGTAGTCTACTTCTAACAGAGGCCAACAATGCATCAAATTTAACAGAGTTTAATTATGCTTGAAATGAGTTTTAACACCATCATCAGAAAAATCAATTTTATTCTATTCAAAAGTAGGTTAATAAGACCCCGCTTAATGTGGGGATGCATTCCTACATAACAAAGCGCTAAACGAAACAGCGTTAAATGAAGTCATTTTAACAGAGTAAATACAGATAGGGCAACACGTGACTGAAAATGAACAAATTTTACTTTAATTTTAAGTTATTTTTACATTAATTTGTATAATAATAATATATGTTAAATAACACACAAACATATGCACACAGAAATGTATAATATATTAATTAGTTCATTTTTTTGTGACGAAGGTCCTGACTTTTCTGAAATTATTGTTTTTTTGCAATAGAGTCATAAAGTTTCATTTGTCGCTTTTTTCTTTCCTAAAGCAAATGTCAGTAGCAGAAGATTGCATCCAAAATGGCTCGTTTTGCTTTTGCACTCCTTTCAAAATCTAGATCATTCGCTACAATTTGATCAACGATTTCAGTTATCGTTACCAAACTTTTACTAAGAAAATCTGCCGAGAAATTTTTTAGGTTCTTCATTTTCAAAATCACTATTTTCCAGTTCTACAAGGATTCCTTGTTCTGTCAGTTCTTGAAGATCGTCGTTGATAAGACCAGAAACCTGTGGTAACTCCTCAATATTCACCAATGTTCATCTATATCTCCTAGTCCTACTCTATTGATTAGGTTGAGTTTGATCAACCTAACAATACAGCGATAGGCTTTTCTCATTGAGAATTCTTTAATACCTTCAGCCATAACTTCTTCCACACTTTGTTCGTGTATTTATCAGTTAATTCTTCAAGTGAAGCTGATATTGCCTATGACATCCAAAATGTTATATTTTTTCCAAAATTGCACCAAACATAGATTTAAAGAAAGTACACCTTTTTGCCATCTTTTTCTGATTTGCTCATGTTCATAAATAATCATATTATGTATAAATCAATAAAATGCTGCAATAATTTAAATCAGCATAAATTTTGAGCTTTTTTCTAGGCTTCGAGCAGACAGCATTATATCGAATCAGTGTTAAGGAAGATAGCATTAAGCAGGGTCTTACTGTATTTTGCAAAATTTCTACAATTTAATTTCTACAAATTAAAAACATTACATTTGTTACAAGAAAGTTTGTATAATCATGTTAGGTCACAGTTTACTCTAAGGATATTTTGTTTCATTTTTGTTTTACACTTATTTCTGATACATTTGTTAACAATATTTGTTTTTAGCTTCAGAGAAAAGACAAGTTTCAGTTTCATTAAAAAATTTTTTAATTTAGTAAAAATGCTTGTTAAACACCATAGTAGGATAAATATGTTAAGTCAGTCCCAGTCAGATAATATGAAAATTGGCTCAAGGTAGGCATACAGATCATTTCATATTTTGGCTAGGCAACGCACGGTACTCTGTGCTGTAAGCTAGAACTTCTTGATAATATTACAAAACACCTTTCTCACTTTTTATAGCAAATTTTTAATTTAAACTAACTAACATTTTCAGCTATTATTTAGGAAATTTTAAATTCTATGTTCTAATTAATGTTTGAAATTATGTTAAATCTGAAGAAGGCTATTCAAAATAGATGAAAATATTAGTTTGTTTAAATTGAAAATTGTTAGAAAAACTGAGAAAGGTATTTTGTTATATTAGTATGGTGCTCAATTGGGACTCTAAAACTTCCAGTAATGCACTCCTTTTCCAATAATGCACAGTAATTTTGTCAAAGATTCATCAATAATCCAGTCCCTTCAGTAAGTAAATACACTGGGCTCTGTTAAGGTACAGTATATATTTATAGCTCACCCAAGATTTGTGAAATAAGCTATATAGTAAATGATTAATTACTGCTCAATATTGGATCATTTTTTTCATAAATTTGAGTTTACTCTAAGGATATCTATTTTTGTTTTACACTTATTTCTGATACACTTAAAACACATTTTTGTATATAACCTCAAAATTTGTGAAAAAATGTGGTCCAATATTACATGTTAATTAATAATTTGCTAATATCTACTTTTGGGCGACAGACCAATTCATCGTGCTTATCCTGTTGGACATAAAATTAAATATTTAAACCTAAACATATCTTTACAATTCCATATCACTTAAATCAACACAAAACATCATTCACACACGATTTTAGTTATCATAGGTACAGTACATATGTAAAATGCACAGCTTAGAGGGAACATTGCTACCTACTTGTAATCAAAATTACATATCATCTTATGAAATTAATTAGCCATAATCTAACTAATAGTTAATCTGGCTTAATTATTTGATTATTGAAATATTTATGAACTGCAGATACTAAAAGATTATGGTTGAAAAACTTCAACTTTATGACAATGTCAGCCAATTGCAGAGACAACGTTTAGAGACCGACGGCGGTTTACAGATCAGGTAGACCAATGTTCAGAAAAATTTCATTGCAGAGATGGCGTTTTTCACCTGCCACAATGTAGACAGCGATTAGAAACAAGTTATTTGACCTATTTTCTAGACTCACTCGACAGCAGGTTTAGAGGGCTTTTCAATTCGAGTGTTAGCTTTGTTTGTGGAAAAATTTAGATAAAAACAGATATTGTTCCTTTGATAAATGTTGTAAATGGTACGAATCAACAAAATTATTCATTAATTAAATTGCTTGGAGCAAAAACAACAAAATTAAATACTTTAAATTTGTTTTAAATGTTCCAATTTCAATATTCAAATGGGTGAAGACTTAAAACTTCAAATAATTTAAATCAAATGCATTTATTTACAATTTGAGTATCTGTCAGTTATAAAACATTAATGCATTTTGGAGTCATTGTACTGTTAAACAAACAAGACAATTTTAATAATTACAGCAATTTGTTTATAGATATTAAAAAAAATGGAATATTAATAATAATATATTTAAAATTATTCATTTTGACAGTAATAAGATGTCGAAATAATTCCTTAAAAATCTATTCCAAATTCAGTATAAATTTTCTAAATATGGATTTGTTCATATTTTAAACCGTATTGGCGACGAAATTAAATATCGAAATGGAAAAGGATTGTCATTAATTGCCAAACAATGGTTTTGACGGCCTTAAATTTTAT